CCCCCCACCCCCACCCCGGCACTCCACTACTCCCCTCTCCTCTTCATGCTCAGAAGAAGTAGCTTTATAACACTCTGGAGTGAGTGAGCTCTGGCCTCAAGCTGAGTACATTTCAGGGAATGAACTCCACTCCCCTACCCTAGCCTAGCTAAATACTTCAGAAGGTCAACAAACAGCTGCCAGTTGTACCTCCCCACTTCATCCCTGATAGACACTACACTTTTCCAAGTGAATTTTAGGTATCCAGACAAAGGGATCCCAGTGTATCACTGTGCTTCTTAAACCCCTGCGTTCTTGGAGCAAACTAAATCCCATGGAGAATGAGAAAAAACTTATGGGGGCTGAAGCAGGAGGGATAACGTGTTTCTCTTTTAGCTTCAGAATCTCCATTGCTAGGGCCCTCTTTTGGAAATTTTTTTCTCTCTCCCCTATGTCCCAGTTTCCACATCAGCATCTGAACATAGGGAAACTTAAGTTGGCCAGCTGCTCCTGTCCGCCTTATTCCAATTTGAAAAAAATGAATAAGACCTGTTTCTGCCTGAAAGAAGTTGGGAAAATGGTCCCTGCCACATGCACATACTGGCCAGCCTCAGGGCTCCCTTCCATCTGCTCTGGGGTTGTTGGGTGCTCTTCTTTTCACTGAGGCAAGTGTGTGGTGTGTTTGGTGCCTGTGTGTGTGTGATGTGCTCACGTACATGGGATGTGTTTCTGTTAGACCCCCTCCTTCTCTTACCCAATTAATAAGAGGCATTGAGCAATTACTAAGTACCATTTTGACTGACCCCAGAATCTGGGCTTTTCAGCAAAGTTAATTCCCCCTTCTCTGTTTTCCCCCTTTCCTGGAGAGTGACTAGCCACACATTCTCCAGTGGGTGGTGTCACTGAATTAACTGGTCACAGTCTTCGGCAGCGTGGTGACTATCATTTGGGATCTCCTCCATCTGTGACCCTGCACTGCACATTCGAGCCTCAGCGCACTGCTCACTCCTACAAGGCATATCACACACCCATCCAGACTCCCTAGAAGCAAGAGAGGGTCTCCCTGAACATCCGGTGCTCCTGTTCTTCCTTCTGTTTCTATGCTCCATATTCTAGGTGAGATAGACCTATTACAGTAGCTTTAAGAATCTGCAAAAACATCTTTGTACATTTTGTTACTGTCTTGGTTGGCATCCCAAACTGGAAGGAGTTGCCACGTCCTTTCCTGAGTTACTAGGCCAGTGTCACGCAAGTCACTCCAGTTTTCACCCAACTTCAAACATCTATAACCTGCCAGCTACCAGGTTGACCAATTAGCAGCCAACACATGCCTATCCTTAGCTTTAAACATATCATTCTTTACTTTTTTTTGTTCCTACTTAGAGTTTCCTTTGCTCCTGCAAATTGATTGTGTTTTCTTGTTGCCTGAATGGACTTATCCCGCAAAACTGCTGGTATAATACTTAGCAAAGTGGGGTAATGATAACAAGTATTCGATCATTTCCAAAGAAGAAGTATTTCCCTGGATATACACATATGTATGCACAGAAATCAACCAGAGCATCTTCCTCTTGCCCTTTCTCCTTCTTTTCTTGCTTCCTTCCTTCCTCATTTTATTCCCTCTCCCTTCTGTCCTTCCTCCGTCCCTTCTTTCCTTCTCTTTCAGAGTAAGGTAGAGATGAGATTGAATCCATTGAGCTAAGGCTTAAGTAAGCACATATGTACTTTTTCTAAGTTTGAAACTTAGTGAGTGCCACTCTAGTGGGACATATAGCTCTGTAACACAGATAGGAATTTGCACAACAGGAATTTCTATAGACACAAAGACCCTGGCTTTAAAAGGGTTCTTGTATAGGAAAACAATGGAGCACTGAGGAGTCGATATAGTAGGCAAGGCTGATTCCACAAAACCATACTGGAGGTGAACTTCAGTACCTCTACTGACAGCTTCCAGTCTCTTCTTTCACTCCCTATGTTGGATGAACATAAAGAGCAGAGGCGCCTTCAGTGCATCCAGAGCAGCCAGAGGACTTCTATGTCCTATCTATGGATGTGCTTGCTCCACTTTCCTGCAGGCCCCCTTGCTCCACTTTGAGAATCTTTGGCTTTCTGAGTGTCTCCACCTGCACAGCCTTCCCAGAGGCCCTCAGCCTCCCATTTCCAAGGGCCAACCACAGAGAGAGTTTTTAAGGCCCTCTCCCAGGGAGGTCAGAGTTTCACAGTCATTCTGGGT